AAATCCCAAGCAGAATATAGACCCCCGGAGCGTTTTTTATTTTTCCCCAATTCCTTTTTTTTTTTTTTGCCTCGAAGTAGCTGCTGAGTGCTGTGCAAATGGCCGCCATCTCCCGCTCGCCGGCCAACGGCAGCACTGGGAGCTTGCCACTCGCTTGGGAATGCACTCCAGGGTGAAGAGGTTTTCAGGGAAATAAGTTATCCCGATGTTAACAACAAGAACGATGCAATCACAGCACACCCGCGGGATGGGCATTATCTGCCAGGTTTGTTTCGTCACGGCAAAGCTTTTAAGGAAGGGGGAAGGAGAAAGAGCAGAGGCATGAAGGCATCTTGCTAAACAAGGGAAGAAATGCAAAGTGGCATCATTGGTGGATCTGAGGATTGACATCCTTTATAAGCGATGCCGACGGTGAAAAGGATCACATGCAACAAGGGTTGTGTGTGACGCAGCAAGGAAAGGAGAGATGCAACGAGCAGGAAGGTAAAAGAAAAGGGCAAAGCGGGCAAAGCAGCAAGCCAGGACAATAATTTTTGGAGGAGCACAGCGAATGCGTGTAAAAAGCAGGGGAGGATGGGATTTCTCAAGGGAAGAGGCTGCAGGAGCTCAGGGGAAAACCACTGAAAGGCTGTGTGACAGCTGTGCGTGACCAGCGGAGACGAGAGGTGAAAGATCTAACCCACCGCTGCGGCAACGCCCGGCGGCCGATGGCGTTCAAACAGGGTGAAACAGTCTCGACTCCAAAGAGCTGAAGGCAAAACCGGGGGAAGAAAATCGTCAGGGAGAGCTGCGGTGTCCCTTAGCACCTACCGCAAAAAAAGCACTCACTTGCGAGAAACGGCCCCGCGGCAGGCGAGGGACTGGCGACCGCCGGCGGCTTCCCAGCGCCGGGAAGAAAATACAAGGGGGAAACCCGGAGCGTAAAAGGATGCGAAGGCTAAAGGGGTTTGGGATGCGGCGGAAACGCTCCTCGCACAATTAGGCAAATCAACTCTATTAAAGGACAATCACGCCAAAGAGTTATTATCAATCACTCTCCCTCTTTTTCTTTATGCAATTAGCCTAATTGCATAAAGGCTATTAAGCAATTATTTCGATAACTGGAGCTTTGTTACTGGCTCTCCATTTTTCGGCGTAATTTTGCCCCTCATATAAATACCACCTTAAAGCGATATTTAAAGATCACTTCAAGTATGCGCATAAGTGTTTTCCCAAACAGGAGATTCAAATTGCTGTGTAAAGGCATAAACTACACAAACGGTACCCAACAAAATTCCTCGTTTTTATCCCCAAATGTCAGGTTGCCCCTCAATCACGGAGCTACGCCCAAGTCCGCGGCAGGCGGAGCGGTGTCTGTATCGAGGCGACGTCCCGGATTTCGTTCCACTTTTTTATTATTCAACTTTTTATACATAATAAATACAAACTTTTTACAGCCAATATAAAGAAAGCATTTTGCACCTATGCTTTCAGTGTACTGACGCTGTACACGATGATACGTCGAATACATGCCCTGTATGAAGAAATCATAGTTAAAAAGGAGGCATATTTTTACAACTTTTTTTTTTTTTTCCGTTTTTCCTTTTTAAATAAAATTAGCAGCTCTTACAGAAAATATTTTAAAATACAACTAAAGAGACTTTAAATAACACTTTCTGAATTTTGAAAGTCCGGGTATGAAGGACACAGAGAAACTGGCCAAAGAAATTGGAAGGTGAACGTTATGGCAATACTTGCTTTTCTCCTGCATTGTGAAGCTTTCAAAATTTCCGCAAACAGTTAAATCTTTTTTAAAAACTTTTTTTTTTTTTCTCCTCTTTTTAAACTTAAGAATAAGTTTGATAAACACATAAAAAGACCTCAAACAGATCAACAGGACAAGAGGTGCAAAAGAATGAAAAATACGGAAAAGACTTCATTGGACAGTCACGGGTTTCCTAACTGATCCACGAATTATTCTCTTCAAACAGCCCCACTCTGGGTGAAAGATCCCCCTGGGAAAGGAGATTGGCAAACACGGATGTCTCAGAGACCCAGCCCGGGTTGGGATTTACAAGTATGTGCAAAGTTTATGAGAAAATTTTGTTAGATGATTATTTTTGTTTGTTTGTTTTTGCAAATGCAGCCTCAAAAAAATAGCCCTTGTTAGTAAACTAAAGGTAGAAAACTTACTGGCTTAGGAAAAAAAAATAATGAAGACATAAGAGCGCATTCAACAGAACCCATATAACAGCTCAAAAACCCCAACCTTGTGATGCCTTTTAACTGAAGCTTTGATCTGATGGACATTGCTGAAAATAATTTAGTAAGCACACCTGAAAAAAAACCAAACCTGTTTTCATCCAGTTTTTCCCTCTCCTCTGACCGCTTCCACGTCACAACTCAGGATACCCTCTGCCCTTTTCTTTCAAACAACAAAAAAAACCCGCTTCCTTTTCCGAGATCCCCGATCGAAAATGAGTTTTGAAATTCTTTTACTCTCTCTTTCTCGCCTAAGAGCCATTGGAGACCGTAGTCCCGGCCACCAAGGCGGCCCCAAGGCCTGGCAGAACCCGGAGCTCTTCCCGGCGCTTTGGCTCCGGCTCAGTAACGGCCTTCGCACGGGAAAACGCTACAGGACCATCCAATGCAAAACCGAAATAACGCATGTAAATAACTCTAAATGTAACTTCTAACTCTAGCCAGACGTGTTGATGACAAAGATATACTGCTAACGTTGGATAATAAAGTACACGGCAATAATTGGGATAAGAGTGACCCAAATACTTTAAAAAAAAACAAAAACAAAACCAATAATCCCCCAAATCTGCTAAGAAAAAAAAAAAACCAGCTCAATTTCCAGATCTAGGCAAAAATCTCACTTACTTTTCTACCAGTTGGTTTATGCTATGGAACAAGATGTTGCTACTAATTCAGCACCTCCATATTAGATACTCTATTACTAAATGTACTGCATAAATATTAATACAAAGAACATTTAGTTCTGTTTAACTGTTAATTATTGAAGAGGTGTGCATTAATGTCATCAACGCCGTATGATCTGCATCACTTTTCCTTATCTAGAAGATTATTTTTCCCGTTTCTTCCTTTCTGCAAGGGGATTAAAGAGGAGCCAGCCTCTCCTTATACTCATTTTTCAGTTCCCTTTTTCATTCCGCGAGCTCTGATTAACACCTAATCAGCCGAGTAACGCCACTTGAAGAATCGACAATCGTTAACGCATTCCTATGGCAACAGTAATATACTGTACTAACGCACGGGATGGACGAATGCTACGACTACGTTGCATGAATGAGGCTCTCGCCTCAGCCTCCGTATAAAAATGGACCTTCTTCAGCCAAGAGAGAAACCTGCTCCAAGGTAATCTGCTCGCTGTTTGGCCCGGCTTGGTTTGTGCTAAGAGAGGAAGAATGATGTATATAAATCAAAATAAACAAAACAAACCAAAAAAAAAAAAGAAAAGAAAGAAACCAAAAGAAAAAGGCACAAAATATTCATGACTGTGGGAAGGAATCCACCACGTCACTGCCACAGAAACCCCTCCCTATCTCTTGCTCTATTTAAAGTCTTCATCATGCAAAGGTGCCTAAAAACGAGATCGACCAAATACCGCGTTTGGTCTTGATTGTAGCACTACTACTGAACTAGTCCAATCGTTACACCAGAGTAATTTCCACGTCCTCGATCTTCTCTGTTGTCCGGCGATGATGCTGCGTCGGGGGCGGTGGAGCTGCTCGCACCTGAAACAGCCAGAACCAGCCTGTAACTATCAGAAAATGGTCAAAATTTCACAACTTGTAGAGATTAAAACCATGACTTTGGGCTTTTAACTCAAGATGATGCAAATATACAGATGGTGTATTAAGATCAACAGAACTCCAGTGAGTAACCAGCCGAGTTCAGGTCCAGCAGTCTCCAGTTAAGCCATCACGGCTCTTCATTATAGACTGTCACTGCTCTCAATGATTTCCCTCTGATTTTTCCCCAGGGTGAGCGTCAGTCACGACGGGGCAAAGGCATGGAGTGAAATACCCTATCTGTTCTGCCTGTACCTCTGCGGGACGTAAACCTGGGACGGACTTTGAACTTTACATCAAACGCTTTACAGCCGGTGACGCCCGTGCCTGGAACGCAGAAGAACCTCCTGCTGCATCTCAGCAGCTTATTCCTGTTCATAGAATCACAGAATCGCTGAGGTTGGAAGGGACCTTTAAGATCATCAAGACCAACCATTAACCTACCCTGACTACACCTCTAAACCATGTCCCTCAGCGCCACATCTACCCTTTTTTTAAACCCCTCCAGGGATGGCGAATCCCCCCCCTCCCTGGGCAGCCTGTTCCGATGTCTAACAACCCTTTCAGTGAAAAAATGTTTCCTAATATCCAATCCAAACCTCTCCTGACATAACTTGAACCCATTTCCTCTCGTCCTATCACTTGTCACCAGGGAGAAGAGCTCAGCCCCCCCCTCTCTACCCCCTCCTTTCAGGGAGTTGTAGAGGGTGAGAAGGTCTCCCCTCAGCCTCCTCTTCTCCAGGCTGAACACCCTCAGGTCCCTCAGCCGCTCCTCATCAGACGTGTCCTCCAGACCCCTCACCAGCTCCGCTGCCCTTCTCTGGACACGCTCCAACACCTCAATGTCCTTCTTGTCGTGAGGGGCCCAAAACTGAACACAGCACTCGAGCTGAGACCTCACCAGTGCCGAGTACAGGGGGACGATCACTGCCCCAGTCCTGCTCACCACACTATTCCTGATACAGCCCAGGATGCTGTTGGCCTTCTTGGCCACCTGGGCACACTGCTGGCTCATATTCAGCCGGATTTCCACCAACACCCTCAGGTCCTTTTCTGCCAGGGTTCAATCGATCACTGACCCAAATGACAGACACCTGAAATCTGATGCTATTTTTACACTCTGCGACATTGATAAAGATGTTATCACTCCTGACCGAGATGACCTTACGCACTAACAGCATCTCACACAGGGTTTTTATCACGTGATTTCAAAATCCACCAGAGCTATGGAAAATTGGAATTGTGGAGCAATACTGGAACAAACTTCACAATATTTTCATATTTAAAATGCAATACTAACAGAAATCCTTTCAATTAAAGCATGACACCATAGTATCGTCTTGAAAAGAGAGTAAATTGCAAGAAACTTGTGAAGAAAATCTAAATCTACAAAATGGAAAAGCTGAATCGATGTCTTTTTACAGGGGAATAAGATAACGTGAAGCTTCTCTGTTCAATACGTAAATACTTAACGATGCAGCTCTACCTCTGCCTCACTATGTCAATGAATAAGGGTAACTCACTGACTACTGGAATATTCAGCATATCATTTCTGAATATCCGAAAATGCTGTTTTTCTGCGACCTCACGCATTGAGAACGCCAGGAAAATACAAACGTTACATCTTAATACGATTTGGTTTAGGACTTTGAAACCCCTAAAACTTGATTTCAAGGTTAATCCCAGGAGATGGATTTTGCAAGTTCTAAGCGATTAAATTCTTCCTTTCCTGTCCTAGCAAAATCTCTCTTTCTAGGCAGCAGAGACATCACCAAATACTTATCTTATCATGAAGAATTTTTAATCCAAAACCTTCAAAATCAAGAGGTTGGGAAATAAATTTAACCCTAAATGAGATCGAGTCACAAGGACAGCGTATCACGTCAGACTGCGGGTGAGAAGCTGTGTCTGCCAGCACGTGGCAGAAGCAGCAATTGTACAAATCCTGCGATTAAACTCTTCTGGCATTTATTCACCATCTCTTTTTTAGTTCTGTTTAGGGGTTCTTACATGCGGCAAGAACGGAAATAATCTCCCAGCGCCTGAAAAGGCAGCAGAAGTTTATCGACTCACATCTGTTTTATTATCATTATAGATGTAATTTCCGCCCAGGTTAGATTTCACGATTCCTACACCTCGCGCAGAGCCACGCGGGTATCACAACCATAACGGCGGACGCAGAAGGGCAGGTTAGATGAAAAGATAGGGGACGGATAAGATTCAAGGTCATCTTTAAACACAGTGACTTACTGTTTAAACAAGCGCAGCTTTGTTCTGTTCTAGCGTTCACTTTATCTCAAACAGCTCTCGTGTTCTATAGCTCTTTGCCACCTCTACGGCATTATCCACGGGGAGAGAGCACACCTTTCCTCGCACTATTCAGCCGAGATATTGCATTTTTATACATAGTCGTTGGATTTGCAGATCGTCAGGTGCTGTATCACCACTCTGCTTTGAACGTCCCTACCCCGATTCACCCAGACCCGTCCCTACGACTCGGTAGCATCGATAAAACCGATAGTATTTGTTTTTTAACTTACAGGTCGCAGTTTGCCATAGGAAGTTTCGGGAGGAATTCGTGGAGGCTGTGAGAATCCAGGAGACTCTGAACCGAAGCTGTTTTCTGAAAGAGTAAGCAACAACCCATCAGAAACCAGCCCCTCCGTATTGCTGAATTAAACTTACGGTGCCGAAAAAGCTTCTTTCTTCCCCCGCCACAAAATGCGAACATTCTAAATTAAGCATTTAGCTGCAATGTTTCTTTTACTAGCACAAAATTTCTTACCGTTAGTTGACGGTGATCTGGGGAAGTACTGAGAACCTCTTTTATCCGGACTGTGGTAGGGACTGGTGGGAGGCTGGTCATAGAGCGGCAGCGGTGGAAGGGAGTTATTAGGCTTCGGAGTCGGGGATACCTGTGGTAAGCAGAGAGGGGTGATGCAGAAGACCTTACTGCTCGGCGGATTTTAGGTACGCAGCGAGCTGCAGTAAGTTCTCTGACACATCAGTACAGTAGGAACTTGCATCTGGGGAAAAAACACCCGGCAAAAGCGCTCTCAGGTATGTTTGGGAAGGAAAGCCACGATATCCAACAGTGATTATATATATATTTGAAATCATAGGTTGCCACTGAGCAGAAATTTTCATCCTCTCCCAGATAATTTAGGCGACTTTTTGAAGGTTATCTGAAGAAAAATCATTTGATCGAGTGTGTTTCTCCACATATATTCACACAAAAGCGTTACGATTGTGGAGTTTTATCCCAACTCAATCGCACATTTATTATTTCAATGTTAAGTTTTCATGGTCTTCCCAAATCAAAGAATAAAAATACTGGAGAAATTAATTCGTAGGGAATGTGGAAGTCCAGTTTCTAGCGCCACAGCTACACATGAGAATGTGACTGATTTTCTATTATGATAGAAGGATTACAGACCCACACTGAAATGAGAATGTTTTTGCAAAAAATACCGTAATACAATATTCAGCGGTATTTTGCCCTTCAAAACCTGAGAGGATACAGAACAGATTTAAGTATGAAAGCATTAAATTAGGGCTGAGAGCGCCTGTAATTCTCCTTTTGCCAGGCGGCGTTTGGCGTCTCAGTCTATGCCTTAAATTAACTGCAAGAAGTTGACTGTGAATCTTCTCCTTTGGCTCACTGCCCTTCTACCCAAATACTTGCCTTTATTCGCAAATCTGTTACATTTCCCAAAATGTATCAGCTGATAAGTATTAGGCTGGGTAAGAAACGAAAACGTAAGCACTCAGGGGTTTGGTGGGTTTTTTTAATTAAATTCGTTCTGATTATTTCTTTTTTTCCTAAGGAAGCAGCAGATCTTTGCAGCCCCGCAAAATCGCCCCAAGAAACCAGTATCTTACGTGCAAGCTCCCACCTCAACTCTTTACGTACCTGGATATCTCCAATCCACTGAGTCTCTCCATTTTCTGAGGCCGTAAGCTCTTCAACTAATACTGATGGGAACACCCCAACGCGGCCGTTGAATTCTCCTTCCCAAAAACCATCATCATCTTGATTTTCCTTGTTCAGGATGCGGATGATGGCTCCTTCCGGGAAGGAGAGCTCATCATCTGTCTGGCCCTCGTAATCGTAAAGTGCTTTTACAAAACAGACTGAAGAATAGGGGGGAAAAAAAAATAAAGTGGAATTAGCATGAGCTGAAAATCAAGTAATATACATAACTGCTGAGCCAAATTCTTTTAGTTTTCTTTAATTTGAGTTATGTTAATCTCAATTCTGGGAGATAGCCAAGTAAATTACACAGATTTGATATGAGATAGATAATTACTGAAGTTGTACTCAGATACTTCAGTTGTACTCAGATACGCATCAAATACAAGAAATTCTCACGTGTGACATCCAAACTGGATATGCAGAACGGTTTTGCCAACAAGCTTAATATACTATATTTTTTTTTTTTATTGGTATTTACCACTGGAGTCTCCATTCAGGCTGCCTGAGACTAAGTCAGCCTCAGTGGAGTTATTTGAGGTGTGTGAGCGACTATCCAGCGCCGCGAGGGACTGCAGCATACTCAGCAGGCTGCTGGACGTCGGGAACTGCAGGTACTTCTCCGGCACGTAACCCACTTGCCCCACTTTATTCCGTGCCTGTAAGCAAACGAGAGAAAAGACGCTCTGCTTTTGCATGCTATTCTGAAACGAATCCAAATCCTCTCTCCCATCCCAAGTTCTATTTCTAAAGAAATAGAATAGTGGAAAGAAACGGAAAGAAATAGCGGAAAGAAACAATCTCAGAAAAACGCTACCTTCACCCAGTCTTCCATATCTCCGTCTTCAATAACCTCCAACACCTCGTGTTCCTCGATGGTCAACTCATCCGGCTGCGAAGCCTGAAGTAAAGAACAGGAAGATTAGAAAATACAAGTGTTTTCAGGCGCACGGGACAGGCAGCCGAAGGAACATTCTCATCCAGACTTTTATTAAAAGTTCCCTTTTTCTAAAAAATCGGAAGCTTTACGATGTAGCGTGCTTGAAAACATATTATTCGGGGTTTTTCTGTATACCTACTGACATCCACAAGACTTTTTTTCAGTCCAGAGGATCGATGGAAGTACCCTGAATACCACTTAGCGCGTCGAACCCTATTTACGTTTGAAACCCTAATTATTCCGTAGACCAAGACTAAGCCTGCCACCGGCTTCGGCCACCGCAGCGGTGTGAATTACAGCAGCCCTTGCAGCGCTAGCAGAAATAAATAGCGCAAATGGAGTCTGTCAGCAGAGCTTTAACTCCTGAATGGTGGTGTCACTATTCCAGCGGACAGAAGAGCTCTGTGGTACGGCACGCAAAACGCCGAGAAGGCGTTTGGAATACAGCCGCACCGGGGCAGCAACAGAAATCACGACATCTTCAAAAGGCACCCGGGCTCCTTGGAGCCGGACAGGGACATCTCTACAGGCTGCAATTCACGCGCAGACTCCGGTACTCCGCTGAACTGGAGCTTCAATGTGTTTCACAACGGTATGGATTTTACACTACTGCAGTTTTTCACAGGCAGATGTTAGATATAGTTAATGCGCACCACTGTTGAGCTGACATTCTACTTCAAACTCCCACAGAACAGTTACAGCTATCATTCATTTGCTGTGTAATTCATTTTTCTAATCAATTATTAAAAAAAAAATAAATATCACAAACCTTATACGAATACACGACTTTGCAGGTGAGAGGATAATTTCTTAGAGTACCAGAAGGACTAGAACTACTGTCATCAAAAACATCCATGCTGTCTTCAAACTCTTCGCCTTCTTCCTTTTCTGCATCAGCATTAATCTATTAAAACAAACGAAACTTGGCATTATACCATCAAATCAAAATAAGTGAAGAAATAAGAATAAAAATGAATTGGTCAATATTCTTCGGTGTGTTTTTTTTTTTTAACTGATGATTATTGAAATTGGACCGAAAAAAAAAAAAAGACTAAATAATATTCAACATCCGATTCTCAAACACCATCGGGAAAGCAGTCACCAACCGAAGCAAATACAGAGAAGCAAAAGAGTAAGAGCTGTCACCAAATTACATCTTTGCTTAATTCAGCTGTGTTTCTTCATTCCAGCACAGACCCGCGGACTTCAAACTTTAGAAGATTTTGGAAGGTCCAACTCAACCGCTGGACAGTTATCTGTTTTCCATATAAGCTGTGGGAGAGTGACTAATGTACTTTGGAGATGGCGTTTCAGAGGCACAGCAAATAGTTTAATGGAAAAAAGAGTCACTTACAGAGGATTTATGCTACTGAAAGATTAATGTACCTGTGACCACACGTCATAAACTGAAACTGCAGGGGAAATACTTAAATTTGAAACAAACAAACAAACAAAAATCGTCCTTCTGGTGTGTTCCGCACAACAGATTTGCTGCAGTTCATTAAAAAAAAAAAAAGAATTTTTAGAGAAAGGATGATGATTAAAAACGAGCTATAAATGTTGAAATAAAAACTGAAGTCAATACACTGGAAAAATACAAGTTTCTATAAATGTGGTTTGGGCAACGTTGACACGAGCTGTGCTTTGGCCTTGTGCCTGGATTAAATTATGACTAAACACTTTATCTCATGTGAAAACAGGTGAGTCCTTCCAATCAAAGGCAATGCTGTTACATGTTTGCCTTCTTCCCTTTATTCATTCTTTTTAATCTGGGAGTGAATTTGGTATTCCTCATGAACACTAAAAGGCTGATAAATCAAGAACAAATTAGGCTGAGACCGAAAAGGCACTGTGCGGGTTCCTAAACCAGCTGTCCCCACACCTCTGCCCTGGGACATCTTTGCTCTTGCAGACCTGGAGCAGATGAGCACAGAGTTCCATCATCTTCTGACTTAATATTTATTTTTATGTTACAATTTCTAGATCCTTGTAATTCATATGATTTTTTTTTTCCCCCACTCGTTTTCATTCAAATGCACTTTGCATCCATTGCGACTTCAATGGATGAATGGCTGGAGAGCAGCCCCGAGGAGGAGGACCTGGGGGTGCTGATTGACCAGAAGCTCAGCATGAGCCAGCAATGTGCGATCGTAGCCCAGAAGGCCAACTGTATCCTGGGCTGCATCAGAAGAAGTGTGGCCAGCAGAGCGAGGGAGGTGATTCTGCCCCTCTACTCCACTCTGGTGAGACCCCACCTGGAGTACTGCCTCCAGCTCTGGAGTCCCCAACAGAAGAAAGATGTGCACCTGTTGGAACAGGTCCAGTGGAGGCCGTGAAGATGATCCGAGGGCTGGAGCCCCTCTGCTGGGAGGACAGGCTGGGAGAGTTGGGGGGGTTCAGCCTGAGAAGGAGAGGCTCTGGGGAGACCTTAGAGTGGCCCTCCAGTACCTAAAGGGGCTCCAGGAGAGCTGGCGAGGGATTTTTTACAAGGGCATGGAGTGATAGGATGAGGGGGAATGGCTTCCAACTGGAAGAGGGGAGATTGAGATGAGATATTAGGAAGAAATTCTTTACTCTGAGGGTGGTGAGCCTCTGGCGCAGGTTGCCCCGAGAAGCTGTGGCTGCCCCATCCCTGGAGGTGCTCAAAGCCAGGTTGGACGGGGCTTGGAGCAACCTGGGTTGGTGGGAGGTGTCCCTGCCCATGGCAGGGGGTTGGAACTGGATGATCTTCAAGGTCCCTTCCAACCTAAACCATTCTACGATTCTATGAAATGTGTTCACAGATGTTGCGGTAACAATATACCCGCTGTCCTACCTGGCTAATGCTTTGATATATTACCAACTAACTATAAATTACGGCAAATTTAAGGTTTCCCCCTCCAGTTTCTAACTGCTTTTTGCTGTGCATGGTCTGTGTCCCAGCAGCCAGGGTTGACACTCAGCTGAGGGCCATATGAAACATCATGGAAATGAGTGGATCATGGCTAGAAAGACTCGTTTGTAAAACATCTGGTCCTGGTTTTCTAACATGAGGAAGAAAAATACATGTTAATTTTCAGTGTGTGGGCTGCGCGAACTCCTTGAATAGCATCATTTGCAAAGTAGGAACACAGAGGGAAAACAGCATTAATGATACAGAGAACTTAGCAGCTTGTTTCATAACGCTCAGCTTTCAACCGAGTCTGGTAGCATTTTGCAATACACATATTTAGGGACTGAAACCACAATTTGGTTTGCACAGGTCGCTGGTAACAGATGACAATCACGCTTGAGTATGAACCAGTAACCGAATATTTAGACTCATAGAATCGTCTAGGTTGGAAGGGACCTTGAAGATCAGCGAGTCCAACCATCAACCCAACACCGCCAAAACCACCGCTAAACCATGACCCCTCAGCACCACATCTGCCCATCTTTTAAATCCCTCCAGGGATGGTGACTCCCCTACTTCCCCGGGCAGCCTGTGCCAGTGCTTGACAACCTGTTTGGTGAAGAAATTTTTCCCAATATCCAATCTAAACCTCCCCTGGTGCAACTTGAGGCCGTTTCCTCTTGTCCCATCGCCTGTTCCTTGGGAGAAGAGATTGACGCCCCCCTCGCTACCCCCTCCTTTCAGGGAGCTGTAGAGAGTGAGAAGGTCTCCCCTCAGCCTCCTCTTCTCCAGGCTGAACACCCCCAGTGCCCTCAGCCGCTCCTCATCAGACGTGTCCTCCAGACCCCTCACCAGCTCCGTTGCCCTTCTCTGGACACACTCCAGCACCTCAATGTCTTTCTTGTAGTGAGGGGCCCAAAACTGAACACAGCACTCGAGGTGGGGCCTCACCAGTGCCAAGGACAGGAGGATGATCACTGCCCCAGTCCTGCTGGCCACACTGTTCCTGATACAGGCCAGGATGCCATTGGCCTTGTTGGCCACCTGGGCACACTGCTGGCTCATATTCAGCCGGATGTCCACCAACACCCCCAGGTCCTTCTCCTCCAGGCAGCTTTCCAGCCTCTCCTCCCCAAGCCATCCATGGGCTTGGTGTGACCCAAGCGCAGGACCTGGCACTTGGCCTTGGTGACCCTCACACCACTGGCTCGGCCCATCGGTCCATCCTGTCCACATCCCTCTGCAGAGCCATCCTACCCTCAAAGAGGTTGACACTCCCCCCCAACTCGGTATCATCTGCGAACTTACTGAGGGTGCACTCGATCCCCTCATCCAGATTGTTGGTAAAGATATCAGAGAACCGGCCGCAGTGCTCAGCCCTGGGGAACACCACTCGTGAAAGACACTATATCCCTTTACAGTGAAAATCATCCACTTTCACGTTCCGTACCAACATACCAACTGCAAATTTTATTTCTAACCCTGCAATACTCTACCCCTACTGTACAAATGTTTCTACTAACTGTACTGCTTCAGGTCCCAACAAATAGGAAACACAAAGACATTATTCCCTCTTCCTTTTTTTGAATAAATTACATTTACAATACATTAGTTGCAGGCAGCATATACACTGCGTATTTTTTCCCGATGATATTAAAATTCAAAATGACAATTAACTGTTTTGGGCATGTACACTGGAAAAAAAATAGGTATTCCCTCCCAAGATTATGCATTTCATCATTATATCAGAAAGTCAGTCGACTGGAGAGGTGATGAGGTATTAACTCCTTCAGCTCGTTATATTATTGCAGCTGGTTAAATAAGTACAGTGATAACAAGGCATCGATGCTGCTTTCTTCTTTTTAGCTCTTCAAAAGAAAACATATCGAGAGCTTTGCTGAACAAATTATGTCATGACAAAGACCGGCACAAAGAGCGAAGCCGCGCAGGATGTAGGGACAGCAGGTAGCCGGTTTCTGAACGTTAGACACTGCCCGCTCGTCAAGAGTGAAGTGAAAGTGCTGCTTGTTATACGCTGCACTAAATCTTCTAACAATTGCAAGCAGCATAAATTCGGGAACAGTTCTAAGAATTTCATCTCCGGGCTGTCCTCGTCTGGCCTGCCAAGGTCAACAGCATCTTTTTTATTTTTTTATAGGGGAGCGTGCGTAAGTGTAAAAGGGGAAAATAAGAATCAGAGTTTAACCTCCCACGCCGTGGCATCTGCTGGCTCGCCAGGGACTAGCACGGGGTTTGGCTCCAGGGCCAATGCCGGCATGTCTGCTGAGAGAGAGAACAAGGCGCTGGGCGCAATCCAACACACACAACGGGAAGCGAAAGGAGGTGGAGAACGAGGAGAAAGGGAAAACACCACTGTTGAACACAGCTATGTAACATGTCCTCCTCTATCCTGGCTAGAAAGGATGTGAAATGAAAGTCGGCAGAGGAACTCCTTTGGGATTTGGGAAGGCTGAAGCTTGGATCTGCACGCTACAACTCCAACCTCTAATTATACTATTTACTGCGGGGATAAAGCCTGCGGAGACGGGCTGGGCAGAGCAGCGATTCTAAAACCATTACTGCAAATCGCTGTCACTGTGTTTGAGCTCTGCATGTAACATGGAATCATAGAATGGTTTGGGTTGGAATGGACCTTAAAGATCATCCAGAGTTCCAACCCCCCTGCCCTGGGCAGGGACACCTCCCACCAGCCCAGGTTGCTCCAAGCCCCGTCCAACCTGGCCTTGAACACCTCCAGGGATGGGGCAGCCACAGCTTCTCTGGGCAACCTGGGCCAGGGGCTCACCACCCACACAGGGAAAAACTTCTTCCTAATATCTCATTTAAATCTCCCCTCTTCCATTTGAAGCCATTCCCCCTCATCCCATCACTACATGTCCTTGTAAAAAGTCCTTCCCCAGCTCTCCTGGAGCCCCTTTAGGCACTGGAAGGGGCTCTGAGCTCTCCCCTTTTTCGCCTTCTCTTCTCCAGGCTGACCCCCCCCAACTCTCCCAGCCTGTCCTCCCAGCAGAGGGGCTCCAGCCCTCCCAGCATCAAAAATCCCCCCTCGCCCTGCTGGCCACGCTGCTGGGGATGCAGCCCGGGATGCCGGGGGCTCGCTGGGCTGCCAGCGCACATTGCCGGCTCATGGTGAGCTTCTCACCCACCAACACCCCCAAGTCCTTCTCCTCAGAGCTGCTCTCCATCCCTTTATCCCCAGCCTGGATATGTGCTTGGGATTGCCCCAACCCATGTGCAGGACCTTGCACTTGGCTTTGCTGAACTTCATGAGTTTTGCACATGCCCACCTCTCCAGCTTGTCCAGCTCCCTCTGGACATCTTAGAAGAAACATGCCAACACCCTGAAGAAAGCAGTGCGGAGTCAGCGCTTGCTCACTTTCTGAACTAAAGTTGACATAGAGGAAAATATCTGTATGTCCAAAAAAGTCTTTCCCTCTAAGGGTTTGCCACCATTACCAAGAAAACAATAAGGAAGCAGGAAAGTATGAAGAAACATGAGCAGGATTTTTTCTGTGGAGATACCACACGCTTGTTGAAATGGGAGATTTTGTTTCTCTTAGGTGGTCAGTGAAAGCAAGCCATTTGCTAAATCCCAGAATCCCAGACTGGTCAGGGTTGGAAGGGACCTCTGAAGCTCCCCCAGTGCCACCCCCTGCCAGAGCAGGGGCACCTCCAGCAGTGGCACAGGACGGCGTCCAGGCGGGTTTGGGATGGCTCCAGAGTGGGAGACTCCCCCACCTCTCTGGGCAGCCTGTGCCACTGCTCTGCCACCCTCACAAGAATGAAGTCCCTCCTCATGTTTAGATGCAACTGCCTATGGTCAAGCTTGTGCCCGTTCCCTCTTGTCCTGTCACTGGGCACCACTGAACAAAGACTGTTCCCCTCAGTCTTCTCTTCTCCAGACTGAACAGCCCCAAGTCCCTCAGCCTTTCCTCATCACAAAGATGCTCCAGTCCCCTCATCATCTCCGTAGCCCTTTGCTGGACCCTCTCCAGCAGTTCTCTGTCCTTCTTGACCCGGGGAGCCCCGAACTGGACACAGTGCTCCAGATGTGGCCTCCCCAGGGCAGAGCAGAGGGGGAGGATGACCTCCCTCCACCTGCTGACCACGGCTTGATGCCCCCCAGGATGCCATTGGCCTTCTTGGCCGCCAGGGCACATTGCTGGCTGATGCCTACAATGCAATGAAAAACCCCATTCCCCTGAAAGTTTTGTTATACAGAAGATATATTGTGGCTGTCCAAAGTTCTTAAGATTAAAAACAAAGTACGAATTAATTACTTTCAATAGCATATGAAGACTATGGTTAGGAAAGTATCCACACACAAACCAGACTTTATAAAAGCCTCTAAATTTTGTTAAGTATTACGCAGAGAAAATTGAAAATTTGTTTGAGGCAAAGTGACTAAACCTTCAGGAATTTTTATTTGAGTTGGTTACTGGTGAGGAACAACAGATTGGGCAGTTTTACTGCCAAAGGTGACAGCTCAGCGTCGCGTGCCATGGAGGGGAATGAAAAAAAAAGAGAACAGGAGCTCTTTTAAGCAGTTCCTGTTTTCTGAACAGCGTTTCTTCGCTCGGGCAGCTGGTCGATTCAGCTATCGCTATTTTTTTTTTGAACCATATCATTCTCCAGGGGAGGTGTGGGGAGAGAAAACAGAGTTTGCTGTTCATTCTTTCTTGAATTACATAAAAACGTGCTTTCTTTCACGCAAAACAGATGGGAGATGTCTCGGCCTATTTTGCAAAGCAGCTATAGGCATTATAGACACAATTAGTACTCCTGAGTACAAAATCATTACCCATCTTTCATCGAACCAAGTCGCTTCTTAGTTCAATTTTGGGTATATTGGATGATATTTTCATAAGAGTTAGCGGGACTTCGGACACAACGAGCCGTACTCATGCAGTCGAATTGAACTGTTTATGAAGTTCCCTACTCTCTGGATGGAATGCAGCAGTGATCAGGTTTGTGCTCTCTTCCAATTTAAGTTCTTTACTGCTTGAAGTGAAACTAGTTATTCCTACAGAAAATGTCAAATATTTACTGTATCTCGAATAACAGGGCAGTAACTTGTAGGTGAGTAGTGGTAACATCTACAGCTATGACAAGTTCTTTGAGGGAAACATCTAACCCTGCTCACAGTCGGAGGGACTATTTTCCAAAGCTTCTCGCTGATTTTTAACGAATGAAATTTTCATCTCAACTATCCAAATCAATTTGGAAAACAGGCTTTGCTTTCTCGATGACTTTCACTGCGATCTGCACACACAAACGACTCTTGAAGAGATGATGTAGAGGTGACATTTTTCTAAATACTCGGGAAAAAACCCACCACCTTTCATGCAAGTATCTCAGATAACATCGTAAACTATCAACGAAACTTCAAAGAAACACGCAGACATTTTTCTTTTCACGAGATGGCAAATGAGTGTTATGGCGCTTATCCAAGGTCAGAAAAATCAATCTAAAGTAAACTCAGCAACAGAACACCAAAATCCCTTTTTTTTTCTTTTTTTTTGGTTTCTTCCATGAAATTCAGCCACGTAAAGCTACAAGATTTTTCCAGTTAACTAACAACCCATCAAATGTTATCAATTTGGTTTTCTATTCGATACGAAGTTAGGAGTTGCTACTAGGAAAGAGCCCCGGGGACATGAAATGACTTTTAGACGTCGGAAACCATACCAGGTGTGAAGAGCCGTTGTTGGTCACCGAAGGCAGGCTGGCCCAGCGTTCGTTTTCCAGTTCTTCCATCACTTGGTTCATGGCGCTTTTCAGCCACGTATCCACGGAGACACCGATCTGCTTCAGCAGATCAAGACGGGCTTCTGCTTTCAGCTTAATTATCTGAGGAAATAAACACGCGCAAGTCAAGAATTCTTAAAAGATTACATTTCGCTCCTCGCCGCCGTTCAAACGCGTTATTTCCCGATCTGCAAATTACGGAAATTATGCAAATAGGTGGCTCCGAAAGCTGCTCCACATGGAAACGAGTCCAGTTCTTCATTTCCTTGCTTGCGGGAAGGCGGTGAGAGCCAAGAGACAGGGAATGGTTTTCTAGAGATGTAAAACTACAGGCACAGCCGCTTCCACACCTTGGTGTTTTTAAAATAACACCTATTTATGCGAACTTTCTATTCATATATTCCTCTATTTCTATCCATCCATTCCAGTGGTTGGTTAGTTGAGATTATTTTCAAAGTGCAAAAACCCAGACAAAACCCAGTGCTTCACAGTACCTTTAAAATTAGGAATACTCCTGGGCTGTAGACCCCAGATGCCCTTTCGGCTGACGGCTAAACTGGATGCGATACGCAAATAAATGCGATGGGATAGACACACACAAACCCACCAACCCCCAACTGGGGCTATTTTCCATCAGCACTTGCCAGAGATCACAGGAAGCTTTTTGTTATGGAAACGGAATATCGTAATAATTCCAAAATTAAACAAATAACACACTTCAACAAACAGTTTCACGACTTTTGTCTTTAGAACAGAATGAAAATTTTGGGTTTTCTGACAGCTGGGTTCACTTCAGCATCCTGGCATGCTTTCCGGCTGACGGAGCCAAGGTTTTCACAAATTCATGGCAAACCACCACCCTGATCCAAATTATTTAACGATCTGAACAGAAGGAATGGAAAGAGTAGCATGAAGAAATTCCAAATTTCAAGAGAAGCGAAATTCAGAATCTCAAGAAAAGCCGAATTTCAAAGATTGCATCATTGGAGGTTAAACCTCGGAATAAAATGGAGGATATTTCTGTCCAGTCCAGCCCTATCATCACCATCCTGTTGCACTGGCTGATCACAGGAACAAAAATCACATAATTTACCAAACATCCTCCAGTGAGAGACTGATGGAGCCAACACCAGAAACGCACTGAACCGCCCTGGAGTTTTTCCTGCATTTTCTGGGGAAAAACTCCCCCTGGAGTTTTCATTCCCGTGAAGCCAGGGAATGGCTTCAAGCTCCAACAGGAGAGATTTAGACTGAACATTAGGAAA